ATCGAATTAAATTGATTAATTGGGAGAAACATCTCGAATGTGTTTTGTAATTTCATAAAGGTCTTCATCTTCGAATTCACGTTTACGAGACGGTTTGTCGGCACGGATTAATTCAGTAAAACTTAAAAAAACTTAATGCAGCAAATGTATTTTAATTTAAAAAAATAAAATTGTGAAACACATTTTGTCATTTCATCAAGAGTTAGCTATATTTAATTCTATTAAATAAATCGAATTATTATTTCCATTGGGTTCAACTTACGTACTCTTTTAAATATTCTGCATTTATTTAGATAAAGAATATACTTGAAATATCGCACTAGAAAGCTGCGAAATACAGAAAATTTCATATAAATAAAACATTAACAGGTTTGTTTTGAGTTTCCAAGATTATGAAAATAATTTTTAAATATAAATTTTAGTGGAAAACATTTAGTAAGTATTCTGTTCGTAAGACCGTAGGTATCATGCATTGAATAAATTTTTTCGCGATATTAATAGAAATCCAATACGAAAATGTATACAGAATATGTCCGATAATAATATCGATGTAATTCGGGAGGAAATTTCGGATGTTTAAAGTAAAACGTTTCTTTATAAGCTCTTTATTTCTTTAATGTTCTTTAATCCTTATTTTTTTATTTATAATTTCTCTATTGGGGGCTCTTGAAGAGAAACGCGCTATTTTGAAATATAATCTAAACTATGATTTTGTAACTATTTTTATCAATAACTAGGTTTTTTTAAAGCGAATATTAGCTACTAGTTACGCTGAATTAGGTTATTTTTGGCGACATTGATTGTTTTCAATCTTCCAAGAACTGCAAAGAGCAATTTTACCCAAAATTCATAAAATCGAAAATTTTTTGAAAACTTCGCTTTTGCCAAACTTTTGCGAAACAGCCAAATGAGCCGTCAGTAACCGGTTTATTAAAGATTTTATAAGAAACGTGCATGCCAAATTTTTTATACACTCTTTCGCTCCTTCCCGTGACAAGCTAAAATAATTCCAATTGGTTTTAGTTTTGGAAATACATAGTTGAGATTTTTATACAACTTTTTTCACATTTCCCCCATACCTTTCATCGAAGGCGTCTAAAAAGTTCCGCGTAAAAAAAGTGATTTGAGAAATATTTATCTGCAATTATTATCACACAAATTTGCCTGTTATTTGACAATCCCGAATTTCATAGTTTAACTCAAACCGTTTAGAAAACAGTGCGGAAGAGCCATTTTCAGTGTTCTCCTTTCAGCATTTTTGTTTAATTTGGTTGGGATGGTTTTAATACCTTCTATTTGCATCTCTCTAGAATCAATCTACAATCGTTTCTGAGGATTTGGCTGTAATTTCAGACACCGTGTATACTGTATAGGATGAATAAATAAAATATGTCGCGCTAAAGTTCTTATCGCCTACGTCTAGCTTACTATTTCTGATAAACTCTTTAAATATGAAACTGCCAATTAAACTTAAACTTCTCAGCAAATTTTCCTCCAGCAGGAAAGGTGGATTATTATTCTTACTTACAATAATTCGCACTCCTCTTCCGAATAAATAGCCTGTGTCAAAATGCGCCATGGAATCCACTAAGGCTCTTTTCTGGATGTCTTTTGGATATAAAGCATCATCCGTTGCATATTTATTAACCAAATAGGAGTTGATGGCGTGACTATCCCAGAGCGTAAAATTGCCATCCTCTAAAACTGGAACTGTATGAAGTGGATTTTTCTATAAAAAATGAAACAAAATAAATCTGTTTAAACAGCAGGTCTTCTTCGAATGTAGAAACGTTGCATGTACTTACAGCAACAAATTCCGGCTTTAAATGGTCTTGAAAGTTGAATAAATCCACAGGAATTAACTTCACTTTATCCTTTAATCCCAACGCTGCAATTGTCAGTAACGTACTTCGAACTGGTGGACTTCCGAGTGTTGCGTACAATTTTAAAGACATGATTTTCCAGTATTTTACTGCAAACCGTAACTTTTGGAATGATCAACACTCATCCCATAAATTATTTACAACTATGTTCCAAGGTAGCGCCGATTATTGACCTTTGGAACACGTGTTGTACAATATCTGTTCGGATATTTTGATATGATATGTAAATACACATGGATATAAAAACGTGTTAAAATTGTACCTGTTTTAGTACAATAAAGAGCTGTGTGTGCGCATTTGACTGGTACCACTTCTCTAGAAGCGAAAGTACCTTTTTCTACTAGATCCAAATAGTATGTAGTCTGTGACTAAATCAGACATCGGTTCAGTGCTTTCGATATTGTTCAGTTTTCTTTAAGCGTCGGTATTTTTCCTGCCGAATAACAATCTAACTAGGATTAATGGAGTTATCTGCAATAGATTGTTATTCTGAAGCAAAAATACCGACTCTTAAAGGAAACCTCAGATATAAGAGTTGAACTGAGTTTCTTGAATCTGGTATTTCATAGAGTAGATTAGTTAATAAACATTTTTTTGCAATTTAATCAGTTTGATAACAGCAATTGGAAAACGATTTGTAATTATTCAGTTCATATTTTTGTTTGTAATTCTTCCATTGTTTCAACTGGGATTACAAAGTTTTTTATTAGTAGGTTTACTTGCCATATTAGAAAAATATAGAACTTTTCAAGCCATAAGAATTCTTAAGATTAAGGCCAATGTAAAATATAGCTGTCCACTAATCGAGTAACAAAAGCAATATAAATGCAGGACAATTTTAGAGATTTCGATAATAAATAATAGTAACAAAGTCCAACGGAATGCTAACAGCTGAGTCAATTCAAGGTTTCCTATATCCTATATATAAAACACTGATTAGATTAAGAGCGGTTAATGCTTTTGGAACGATTAAAAAATCGTCGACCGCCTATTATTGTATAGATAATATTTATCAAATTTAATTTTTTTTATTTTTCTAGTTCTGAAGACTTACGCGTTACCCTCATAGCTTCCTAAAAATTATTTCCTTTTTTAATGTATCTTATTTTTCGTATTTTTGCCAATCTATTTCTTTTTATTCTTTCAAAATAACACTTTAATTCAAGTAACACTTGTATTAATCCAATGCCTCTCTAACTTGAAACAATTTCAATAAATCAAATGCAATATTTTTTTGGAAAATTATTGGACACGCGATCAGCACGTTAAATTATGTTCCTTTTTTATGTAAAATCATTCAATACTACTTGTTCCAAATTTGAGATATGAAATATGACGCAAACCTGGCTTTTGATCATGATGGTGAAAGATCTTAAACAAACAATAATTAGGTAGTTTAAAAATGGAGATTCGACACTCAGCATGATAAGCAAATAAGTTAAATAAAATTCGTATGGAGCGATATTTTTTAGCTTGTGGGTTTCTCAGAAACACGTTTTACTAAAATCGACCAAAATCCCGAACTTAACTGAAACCCACAAGAGTAAAAATTTAAGGCTGATTGACTACGGAGATGGAACCAGAATGCAGAATGGCGATTTATTCAGAGGGATCTACCTTGATTTACCGCAAATATCGTACTCATAAGAGTGAATGAAATTCAATTTCGGGAAAATGGTCAGTTTAAAAAAATAATAATATAATAATAAGATATAAAAATTAATGCTCTTCTTTCCGTTCAAGAAAATCCTCGGGTTCCCATTTAGGCCGATCTCTAGGAAACTCGAAATGAGCCAATTTTCAGTGAGGAAAAGTCTAAATACCTCAAAATTTCTACCAAATAAAATCACAATTCTCCAAGAAAACCGAAGATGGTCTGGATGGAAGACCTGGATGGTCATTTAACTCTTCTACCAATTCATCTGCCCTGAAAATACATCATCCAGACACTAATGGACAGGTTTTGGCAGGTGCTACTATTTGGGACATCTGTTTTATCCGGATACGAAAACAGAATAGCCAAATTCAGTAACTAAAATCCCGCTCCATGAATTTTTTTTTTCTCACCACAAGTCTGAATCTTACAAATCTACGAATCTTTCAAATTTTGGTATATACGAGGAATTCGATCAAGTTCCAGACGCTCCAGTTTAAATATATTTTTAAATTCACATTAATAAAATTTGTTATGCAAAAGAAATATGTAGTTAATCATTTTGTTGTTAGCACGTATAACGTGTTAACGCATTACGTGATTTATTATCTCAGCTAATTCGTCTTCGCCTACACTTCGCACATTTAAAACACGTCTTGTACCCATATTTTTTGACCTTTTTTGACTTTTTATGACTATGATAATAATTTCTGTATAAATTTAAACAACTTCCATTTGTCCTTTTCATACTTTAAAACTCCTGTATAATTTATGAAACATGTAAAAACATATTTTTTGTTTTAAATTTTATCGCGAAATTGAATCGTCAAGTCTGGACTAAAAAATGATGAACACTTTATTAAAGGCGTTTCTTAAATTAATATGACCTTTATTTATTTGGAAACTGAAAAATACGTATTTAGAAGATACGCTTTGACCGAGTTATTTTATGTTAGTATAGGCAGATTTTCTGAAGAATAGTTGACAATTACTACGCTTTATAAAATTGATTCAGATACCAGAAATTTTCAAATGCCACATATTGGCAGTCCTGGAAGACCCAGTTTGGGTAGAAGTTACTAACTTTTTTTAAATTACATTGATTAAATAATTCTGAGATCATTTTTCTTTATTGCATTATGAAATATAATTTTTATTAATTCGTTATACGTTTTGAACCGCGGTAGATAAAGCGTGTTAAACTTTAAAATCGAAATTACTGCAATTGTTTATAAAATGACTGTACGCTTTTTCCTGTGCCTACTCTTGATTTGTGGACAGCTTTTTGAAACACATAAGATTTACAAACTTTCAAGTTCCCAAGCGAGACATTTTTCAAATAATCTAAGTAGTAGAAGCTAACAATTTTCAGTGCCATGTGGCACAGATAATTTGTCTGTCGTAACTTCAGATTCACCTTGTACTAGTGCAAGCAATTTATTAAATAAAACTCCAATAAGCGCTGATTTTGAATGCATTTACTTTGAGAAAACATTTTCAAACCCATATGCACTTAGGCAAGTTTCTTGCTTAAAACCTCCTTGACTTGCTTTAACCCAGCAGCATTTACTTTCGCAAAATACGGCAGGGATTTAATCGTTTGGTACCATGCCAGGACTTTGTCATGTTTGCCGGGTGTTAGCGGTAAATAACTCGTCGATGACGATAAAGTCGTAGCTATGCTAAAGTCAGCGATAGTGAGCTGAGAGCCAGCGACGTAGGCACGTTTTTCTAAAATTGTATTCAAGTAAGCATATGCCTCTTCAAGGGGTTTCGCTATCTGGGAGTCTACACTAGTGGGTGTTGGTGAAGTAACAATTGATTTCTAAAAAAAACTGAAAATTAAAGACCCATTTTACAAAATATAACTGTGGAAGCCTTACTATAGCAACGTCGTGTCCTGCAAATAAAAATCCAGTATCAAAGAAGTTCATTGCATCAACTAAAGCCCGCTTTTTGGGATCTTTCGGATAGAGACTGTCAGTTTTTCCATATTTGCTCACTATGTAGGCGTTGATGGCGTGACTGTCCCACAATATTAAGTCTCCATCTTGTATTGTTGGCACTTTTTGAAGCGGGTTAATCTGATGTAATAATGAAGCAAATTATTGTATATCAGGAGAAGCAAAAGTGAAAAGGTGCAGAAGTTTTTCCAAATGATTAGTAGCAAACATTCAAAATTGTAGAAATTATCTAACTAACTAACTGAACCATAAATAGTTTAATAAATAAATAGATGAGGTGTGCCGAAATCTTAATATATTCAACATATTAGCACTTTGGTCTGATGGTAATTTGCAGACTGATTCAAGTTTCATATTGAAAATTCAGGAATTGGTAGAACATGTTAGAATCAATTTTCTATATTATGATATATAACTTTTCTCTAAATCACGACGTTTCGGAGATCGAGAACGTTAAAATATTATACGATCTTTTTTCGGTTTTCTATTATACGTTTTGAAGCACTAATCCGATTTAAGTGAAATTCGGAACACAATTGCTTCTATTGATCTTTGTTCAAATACTAGCTTTTACATTGGCGGCTTTGGCTTCTAGTTTTCCATTATTGTCACAAAAAGAAAATATTAAAAATTAAGTTCATTGGCGTTTCAAAACACCAAAAGAAAAGTTTTTCTTTGATCATTCACTTTTTATAGCAAAACAACGGTTTTTTTCCATAAGAAAACCGCCTTAAAAATTCTTCTAAACTTCACGAGGATTACAAAAACTTTTTACACGAGTATATTCGCTTTGGTCATACTCAATCTATTCCGCTATCTTTAACACCAGATAATAAAATATTGTGTTGTTCGTGACGCGAGCAAATCAATTGAGAATTGTATTGTATTGAATGGAAGCGTCATCCGGTTTTTCCTTGAATTATATCGTCCTCAACCGCTAGACTCTTTCTAAGAAGATTTAAATTCACTTTAGCGTATGATATAGAGAAGATGTATCGTAAGTAACAGCTTTGAATCAAAATCACAATTATCGGGTCGCATCAGGAGCTATGTTATATCACCAATTATTGGAAATGTGTAAATCAGAAAATTTCAATTTACCCAAATGGTCCTCTATCTCACATCATTTTTTTCTAATTGAGGATGTCAACTAACTACGACATAAAAGTTGAAGTTGCAGCAATTAAAGTTATTGGCATAATTTGGAAATTAAATGTATTTGCAGTATCATTGCCTGCTGATTTTGAGCATATTTCCTATCCAAAAGCGAGGTATCAAAAATAGCACTCATCCTTTAGGTCTGATCGGCGCTGCAGAAATTTTTAGGCGAGAAAATTGAAAGTCTACCATCAACGGGAGTGATTTCCTCGCTGGTTCTCTTTTTTCCCAATAGAACAGTTATTTCAATAAATTCCCAGAAATGCGATTATTTAACATTCGAAGACATTTTCTTCATTCTTCCAATGGATCTGCTTGTATTTTTCAACTACGTGGATTTTGTGATGCTAGTAGAAAAGCTTACGGGGCTTGAGTTTACATTAGGGCAATTCATTAAATTAATTCGGCTTCATTTCGACTAGTAGCTTCAAGAAACTGAGTTTCATCTCTAAACGAGTTATGAATTCCGCTTTCAGAGTTATGCGAAGCTTTGTTCCTCTTCAATATTATCTTTTTGATGGCAATTTGTGACAAATTCTGAAATTTTCGATTCAATACATTTGTGCCAAAATGCATCACTGAAATTCATGGTATAACAAAACGTTTTTAATTATATCATATTGATTCTAAAATGAATGCAGCACGAAGGACCACAAATTGTAGTGGGATTGTTAATTTCTCACTACATATCTTTTTAGTGTAGTATTTGAGCGATATTACACATGTTCGTTCAGTTTTAACTACCTACTTTTACAGGTGTATTTTGTGTGCCATCCCTTTTCTTTTGTTGCTAAAACCTCTAGAACAAACAAATATTTCAATAAAGCACCTACACAGGTCTACCAACTGGTTCAATTTGAAACTTTTTTATCTCCTATTTTTTTAAATTTTATCTGGTTTCTGAATGTTTTGATTACATTTGATACAAGCGGCCTACTCACGTAAATTTGATTTAACATTACAGCAAACCATGAAAACTCACAACTATTTCTATAAACTGACTTTTGTGCACAATATTTATAATCCATTTATTGGACCAGAGGTCCAAATGGATTCGAAAAATGCGGGAAAAACTTATTTCAACACTTTCTACCTACGAAACAATTCTAACATGGTTTTTCGATTCCTGACGTTATCAAGATTAAACCTAAAGCACATTGGAATTGTATCCAACTTTTTCTTTACTTACGGCTGAAAAAGCTGCAGTTTGCGTGCCTCCATTAAGCAAGTCCACATCTACAAACTCCACACCCTTCAATTCTAGAGCTTCGATAGTTAGCAACACGGCCCTAACACAAGGGCTGATTTCAGCTCCGTAAAGTTTAAGGCCCATTTTATCCCCTAACGTTTTTAGGTTTCTATTGCTACTAGATTTTTACTAGAATGAACTTCAATTTATACTCTTGTCAACCACGTTCAGGAGCGTGGTCATGCGAAACCCCTAGTCTATCTATTGCCTAGAATTTGAATAGTTTAGGTGCAAACTGGTATTTTAATGGGCTTGAAAAAGAATAAATTATAGATAAGCGGCTTTTTTTACCAGTTACGTATTAGGCGATAACGTAAAAATTAGGCGTAGTAACTAGTACAGGAGAGTCGCAAATGCGTCCTTATTTAACTCAATTGCATTAATGAGTATTCAAAAACGGGCAAATTATTAATAAACTCTCTTATCTTCGAAATGGAAGTTTTTCAAASCTCCAAAGTTTCTGAAGTTCGAATYGGCATGGAAAATTGAACGCTGTTGCAGACGCAACTTGGAATTCTGCGAATYAAKCGGGTTCTATACTGATTGTCCGGAAATTATCGTTTGTTGACTGAGAATATTTAATAGTTTGCAGCCTCCAGTTCGAAAACTCCAGGCAAATTGAGCTTTTGACTTGCTTACTAGAAAATACACTGAATTTTTCACTTAGAAGTTTGCTGTTTTTATATCACAATTCAACGATTTTTCATGCTAAGATGAGATCTTTTTAAAATAAAGCTCCTCCAGTACTTGCAAGGAAATTACAATTACTTTCCGGTTTAAGATGTTTCTCCATATTTTAAGCGATTTCATGATACTTTAAAGGATCGGGATCAACACATTTTTGCCCCTTTTGAAAATTTTAAATTTCTCTTTAAAATGCAACTCCCAACATTGTTGTGCATCAAACTTGAGAAGCTCTGKAAAATCAGACCATGCACTAATAGCAAGGAAATTTGAACATCGTTCACTTTTCAACTCGTTCTAAGAGCTGAAAGCTTKCACGTTTTTCAGTAAAACAGGGCTGAAAAGTTCTTCAGTCTAAGACTATATCAAAACCGATTGCAGGTAGTGGTGGATTAAAAGTTTTTTTTCAGAACTACTGTGTTTTAGTGTTGTTGCATATTGGTTTTTGATTGATTTGTTTCCTTGGTTTGGAAACTTTGATTTTTTTCATAACGTGTTAAATATTTTCAATTGTGACATTTTAAAGGTTCACCAATTGCAAAAAAACGGCAGGCTTATATCTCAACACATTTTTTAACATATCAAATTTTTGAGTTTGAAAACTGACTTTAAAACTCGCCCAAGTTCAACTTGCACAAGGATCATTTTACTATTTTCCTAAATGGCTTCAAAAGAAAGCAATTAGGGATGTCAGGCAATGATGCAGAAGTATGAATGAAACTCTGGATCATTGTTGCAATAAAGAAACTTTATTTAATGCCATGCTGTATATTATACAATGGTTTATAAATATCTGATCGTTTCAAGAATATTCATAATTATATACGTTTAAATATAATAAACAAAGTATTTAACGTATGTTGTGGTTGATTAGTGACCGTGATGATAATCAGTAATAAATTTTTCAATAGTGGGATTTTCGGTCAACGGATGGTGTCAAAATAAAACACTACTTTTTTATGGGCCAACGTTTCGACTTTATTCAAGTCATCCTCAGGGCTCTAAAATGGAGAACAGAGACTCTGTTTTATATCATGAAAAAGTAGTGTGTTATTTTGCCACCATCCGTTAACCGAAAATCCCACTATAGAAAAATTAATTACAAAGTATTTAACTACCTAAATATTTTATGATTTCCCCAAGAGTAATAAATCCAAATAATTTCTTTTCTGTTTCAACGCCTAAGAAATGAGGCTATCAATGCATTGCACTCAGCAAGTCCTTCTCTGTTGGCTTCGTAAAACGGAAGTTTTTGAATTCGCTCAATGTAGGATTTGATATTCGGAAAATCGGCATAGGGAACAAATATATTCCATTGTGTAATTGTGGATGTAAAGCTAAAGTCTGCAATGCTTAATTCGTTGCCTGCAATGTAGAGGCTTTTGCATTGTTCAAGCATTCGCTCGACTACAAGAAACACTTCCTTTAAAGTTTCCAATTTGGTTTTATCTGGTTGCACACCTCCACCAAAAACCAGCGGTTTCTAAAACAAACACGGATTCAATGAGTTACAGTTGCTTGTTCGATTTGGATAATCACTAGATTTAATTGTGGCAAATGCGTTGTTGCTAAACTGTTTTTTTGTGTGTTTTCTTCCTTCTCTCGAAGATTATTTATATAAGATAAGTGGCTCTGCACGTAAATTAAGCAAGAAACGAATTCTCTTCTGCTATAGTAAGCGTGACGGAATATTTGTATATTCAGTTGGCTACGCCATTGCTTATCTACTTAATGTAAGTTTTGGATATGGATCGGTTTAACAACGCTAATATTGTCAGAAGAAAACGGTTGACTGAAATGTACTGATGCTCTACTTAAAAAGAAAGCTAGATTCAAGTATGAGAATTTTTAAATGGATATTTTTGTGGTTTGTGCTAACTTTGGTTCGTTCGAATTCATTTGAGTTACTTAGAATTTTCATCAAGCAGTGGCAAATATTGGAAAACGGTTTGTCAGAAGAAGTTTTCTGCTCATCATAAAAAAATACTGTACAGGGTTGCGAACCTTAGATCCCTTGTTTTATTAGATTTGACACATTTTGAATTTTTTTTTCACACAGAGGTAGTAAATTTATTAAAGTACGTTAAACCATCAACCTTCAGTCATTTATTACTAGTACTTGAAAATATACCAATAATAAACTGCTTTTTCTTCCCTAACTGATTTTATGGGAACTATCAAGCCAATCGGAAAAGGTTTTAGAGCTATACATTGAAAATGAGTATTAACTAGTGGTCGAAATACCATGGAAAACAACAGTTTCATTAAAGATTAAATAACATTAAAGCATCTTGCACATTTTTCGATCGTCCTCTGTGTCAAATTCTTTTCTTTCACTTTCCAAAAATATATGGTGTACCTTTTATAATAATGAGGATTTCTGTTTTTTTTCGGGAATAAAGTTACATGTGTTTTTGGTGGTCTATCGTTAATAGTCCAAAAGTTGTATACATTTGACCACACCGTGTATCAATACTTACAACTATGTTCACTCCTTTTACGAAAAATACACTAGAATCGAAGTGTAGTCGATGATTAATTGTAGCTCTAACTTTACGATCTTTGGGATTTAACGAATCATTCTTTCCATACTTATCAACTAAATATTCATTTATGACATGACTGTCGGTTACAATAAATCCATCGTCGTCTTCGAGTACTGGTATGGTATGGCAAGGATTTATCTGCAAATGTATTTACGTGTAGTGTTTTTTTATAAACTGGCTCTGAACTTAGCTGATTAAGATATATACACAAATAAAATATTTACTGTATCCAATAACCTATGCCCCGAATGGAAATGATAAGAAGGTATTCTTTATTGATTTAACACACTTTTAATACAGTTTTTTTTTAAAACAAATTGATATATTTATTTAAATTACTTCAGAACAGAAATAATAGCTGATGTGTATAAGTTGCGCCTTAAAAACGCACATAAATGGAGAAGAAATTAATAATTATCTTCGTTTGATATAAAAGTTCAATCTTTTTCAATTTTCATCAATTTGTTCAAAATCCGTAAATACGAATTATGCAATCACAAGATTTTTTTAATTCCCAGTAATTCTACGTGACACTGATCTATTCTAAATATTCTGATTAATTCTACTATTGAAAATATCTAAAACATTCAGATATTTTCAATAAAGTGATGCACAATAAAAACAATAATTTACTTTAAATTTAGAAGAAAATTAGAATTATTAACATCCATGAGAATTTCCAAAGTCTTGATTGAATAAACAGAATTGAAGATGCAGACTTAAATATTTTTGGTGTCATTTTTGCAGTTAAATTCATTAAATTGCAGGTTGTTGAGAATTTTTTAATATCATAAAAATCATACTTATTAACATGGAATACAAAAAGCCGCGATTCTTAAATTCAAAGCTTCAATATTTTGGAAAAAAACATATTTGCTTCAAAAATAAACATCTTATTTAAATAATTTGCCTACACGTGAAACAAACCTTTTATTGTTTTATACAAAAAAAAATTGTTATATTTGAAGAAAACACTTAAAAAATGAATTTTCACCCAAGGTAGTCTCGGCTCAGATGGGCTACTTTGTACATTATGAGTTTTCTATGTACCAAGTATTAACTATTAGGTTTGAGAGGCCTAAATAAGTGAATAAAAATTGCCAAATGTTGAGCATTGTAACCCATACATATTCTCACTTACCTTCATGAAATCTTCTGAAATTTGTTCACTAGCCACTAAATCGATAGGAATCAATTTTAGATCCACCCCCAATGCTTTTGCACACATTAAAACTGCCCTTGTTGGGGGACTGATGATGCTACCGTATAATTTTACTGCCATTTTTTAGCACTACTTTTACACGTGAAGTATTGAGAATAATATTCTTGAAAGTTCCTGGTAGCGCATTTATAAGCCCTGTACTGCGTAAGATGGACTTGTCATCAGTGTAAAAACTAATATAAATTTTGTGATAACATTTGATAACCAATCAATAACATAGTTTAAAACAAACTGCTTTTTTTCTGGATAATATAAACTATAGCGAAGCGTGCACTTTAATCGATAATAATAATTTATAAATTTTAATCTAATTGGATTTCCTAACAATAAGCCATGTGTAGGATTGTTGAAGTGATTAATATAGAAAAACGCATAATTAAGGTTATTTCGTTAAATTAATAGCGACATAAAAGATAAATGGTTGAAAAACGCATCAGGATATACGATATAATTAAATTATTTAGAATCAGCTGAAAATTCATTTTTATGGATGAACGTTTAGATTAAATATGACTTGTTCTAAAATATGATTTTAATAATGGCAATAATCAGCAATAGGAAAATTAAAACCATTAAATCTTTTCCTTAATAATGTTACGAAAATAGGGTTTATGCTCAAAAACAGGTTAGTTTAGGTGGTTACTTAAAGTAACTAACTAGTGAAAAGGTATAATTAATCAGATTTAGTACTCAGCCAATCAGTATTTCGTTAGCTTCTATAATTTAATTATTGTCCATTTTGTGACTGATTCTTGCTGTTCATGTAACTTTATTGTTAGATTATTTTAAAACTGAGTGTAAAAAATATCACGTATTTTACCTCACAAATAAGACATAGTCTGATCAGCTCGACTGATAAGAATATTAAAATATAATCTGATACCATTTCAATTGTTTTTCCATATCTTTTCTCTTTGGTGAGCGTTTATATTTTCTGTAAAATCAAGTAATTTGAGCCGCCATCCTTAAGTGCTAAAAAATCCTTTAGGCAGTAGATGAAACAACAATCTTTCTAGCTAAGAACAACTTTTTTCTTACCAAGTGTTAGACAATAGTATTAGCCAGAAAAAAAACAGATTACGGTTTTTGACTTAAAGCTAAGCCCAACGAACGGGACCTAATAGAATCGAAAAATAATAGTTGTTCTACATATTGATTATCTAATATACCGGCCCTTTGGTAGGCAGATGCACTCCTTGCAGTGGGTGATAGTGCAAATAATTTTCGATATATTTCGTTAATAAATGTTCCGAAAACACATAGTTTCCGATATACAGGGTGTTAACATTTTAATTATTATTTTTTATTTATTAATATTGCGGAAACCCTCTTGGTATATTTTCATGAAATTTTATAGCCTTATGCACTTAACAGCAATACATGTTTTGTGATAAAAAATTTGTTTCAACCTTTTCCAGTGGCGTGGGTACAGGCACGTCTGTAGATAATTTTAAATACTAAAATATTACGCCACTGATTTTTTAAACAACAAACATCTTGATTCAAATTGCTATTCATATTGGAAGAGAAAACGTATCTTGGCTTATTTTTCTACAACGCACCGTGTTTGAGTAAAAAAATTAAAATCGATTTATTGCACAGCGTAATCGGGTTTTTATTAAAAAGTTGGCTCTGCACTAGTTTTTGTCACTGATTGACAAAATTTACAATTTCTGCCATTTCGAGTGTCTAAGTAACTTCACTTTCAACTTCCTTCCTTTTTGCGCTTTACATAATTTCGAGTAAGTTCACATTAGTTGAAAACTTTATTTGTTGAAATGGCTGATTTTTCAAATGCTGAATACGCAGATATTCTTTACATTTAAAACATATACTCTGGGAAAGACATTTTAACAAAGCTCGATAATAACATTTTCATGAACACCATAATAGACAGTCTATTGTTAGTACATTTAATGTAAACATTATCGTAGATGTTGTGCATGTTCACTAATTCTTCAGAGAACTTTTCAGATGTGTTTTTCAGAGTTTTTTAAGCCTCTGTATTCGTGTATTTGTCACAATTTAAAATTAATACCAATAAAAGATATTGAATTCTACACAATTTAAGTGCGTAACTGATATACAGTTTTTTGAATATATTTGTCGTTTTATATAACTAACTACTTATATACTTATATATAACTAACTTTTTCAAAAGCTTTTGCGTTTGTATATCCTGATGTACGAGACGTGGTCGCATATAGGCCTGGGTAACACTGTGTTGAGTTGCGATATTGAGTTGTTGCCGCTCTTAGTTCACGCGTTATAACTCATTGGTTAATGAGTTATAAGTCATTTATTACTTACGAGACCCGAGACTGGAATTTTCACATCTAAAGAAAGGTCATCAACATTTTTTCTGAGCAACGTTTTACTACTTTGTTCAAACAACTGACAAAGAGTCACATAGATTTTCCCAGTAACAGAACTGAGTCCAAAGAAAGTCGACGAGTTTTCTTATAAAATAGATCTCTCGCAACTTTTGGCTGAAAAGACCCCGTTATTGTAAGAAAAGATGAAAATCATCAAAAAATAATGTTTTTTGCGTTCTCGCGATTAAAAACTTTTCGTTTTGTGATCGGTTTTGGAGAAAACCAATGGTTTTCGGGGAAAACGGGAGGAATTTATTTTCGTTTATATCGCGAATTTGACGCTGAAAAATGTTTGTAAAATTTTTACAAAGTTATACATTTATCAGATCGTCAGTATTTTTAAGTGAAATTCGAGAACGTTTTTGAGTAGAAGGTAAAACAAAAAAAATCAGTCAAAACTAAAAAACATTTTTTTTAACAAACTCTGCAGAGGTATGGAGGTGACGAGATTTTCAAATAATCTATTATAAACTTTCGCGTATTGTGTGCGTTTTTTGATAGAAAATTATTTCATTTTTGTTACAAATTCGAAGCCGGAAAGGGATTTCAAAACTTTTTACAAAGCGAAAATACTTTAAGATTTTCAGCATTTTTAAGTGAAACTTTAGAAGATTGAGCATTTAGCAGAAAGAATAACCTGGCTAAAACTGGAACATTCTGAAATTTTGAAGAAATTTTAAAATATTCTTCATAAATGGCCCTTAAAAATAAATCTAAAAAGGAGTAAAAATAGTCATCAGCCTCTTCCCAGCAACGGAACTGAGTTACTGCGCCGTTTCGTTGGGTTGGCGCATCAAGCCATTTAGGTAGCTCTGCGCCAATTCCTAAAAATTCACTGTGTTTCCCAGGCCTAGTCGAATATAATTATGAAACCTCGAAAATTTCGACAAAAAAAGCCAGACGTAGATGTTAACTAAAACTTATTGAATTTATGTTCCATTTGTATAATAAACATCTAAACATTCTGTAAATAATTATTACTTGACACAGCAGACAGACTAAATTGGCCTAATCTATTTGAAAGACACCTTAGGAGTGGACTAGTTAAAAATAGAAGAATCACCTAATATCAACAAAAAAATATTTTTATAATGCTGAAGCAAACGAAGAAAGTAAAGTTAAAAATCGCCGCTCAACAGAATGTTTTCGTAACTCTGCTATGACATTTTTTATATTTAAACATCTGCCTGCAGACTAAAATATATTTGATGGACAAACATGTTGAAGGAGACTATGCCGGGAAGGGTTCAGCGTTGTCACAAGGGAAAATATAATTTTTTATGCCTCATAAAACAATGTTTTAACACCTTGAGAGTAGTCGGAGAAGAATATAGATATATTTTTGTTAGGTAACAAAGTATAAAACTTCTTTTCTAATATATGCGTAACGCAATCGTTTTACAACATTCATATTTAATTAATTTTGCTAGTTTTTTTCATATATAACTAAGACACATGAGAATGTTTTTCTATACCATTCACCCTTTTAGTGATTTCAATATAAAAACAATCTTTTGAGAGCTCCAGAACTGCTGGCTATTGTTTTATAAAGTTAAAATAATTCACCAAATTTTTTTTTCTAAGTAGTATCACTGCTCACTTTTGGTACAAATAACTTGGACAACCTGGTATATTAACACTGCCGGCTGTAGTATTTTATCCTTATCATTTGTTAGGCTTGGTCTAATTGTTGCGAAACCGCGTTTATCAACAAATTTGCTGAAATATTTCAGTTTTATAGAAATTCTCAGTTTTGGAACGTACTTTCCGAAAAAGTACGTTGTTGAAATAACTTTATTACATAGGTCGATGTTTTTCAAGTAATATCTAAATTGTTTTTAGTTCATTTATTACAATTAAATTTTATATGTTTAGGATTTTTGACAAAATCAAA